CATTTTCGTTAAGGGATTAAAATCATATTCAATGTAACTATTATTTTATTTAAATATTTATACCTTTTTGAGTGGTGGTTAATTATTTTCGTCGGTAGTATCCAAATTACGTTTATTCGAATTTTGATTAGTTGTAGTCGATGTATTTGGCGGTCGTTTGAAAAACTTCGTGAAACACTGGTTTATAACATATAAATATATAATAGGTATTACCTACCCATTTTAACCATGTTAAGCTTGTTTAAAACGCTTATTGTGATATCTAATAATATAAGAGTTTAATGGGTATTTTAGTATTTAAAAAAAAAAAATACGTCAAAACAAATTAACAYGTTTTAGTGTGAAACATTCCAAACAAATTTAAATCTCTTTTGAATTCAGAGTATAGTATTGTATAGGTAAAAACACTAAGAACTTACTTACCGSCTACCTGTATGCTTATATAAGTTATTACTTGTCAAGAATGCATGAAAAATATTTCTAAAAAAACATCATTCATTCCTTCACATCGAAAAACAATGTAAACTAGTAAATCGCGATGAAATCTATAGTTATRATTAATTTTTTCTTATAACTAAACAAAATAATTAATTAAAACGGAATTTTCAATTTTTTTTTATCATACGAACATTGCYTATAAACAATTCGTTTGTTTCATTTAATTATGTCGTATACGCGTATACGCGCCGATCACTGGCGTACACAAATAATAAACGAACAAATTAATTATAAGCACTTTTATTGAACACTTTGACGTCCAGTGGCGATCTAGTCACACGATCACCACCTGGCTCTGACACTAGTGGTCAGTGGTAATCGATCGAGTCACACGACAACCGCCAACTGACCCCTTTTCTGTCATCACATATTCCTTAAATATAATTTTTACAATCGAAACACTACCGGTAATATCGATATTGAATTTAACCTAGTTACATAATACTTACTGACTAAGCTTAAAATTATACTAATTGTTATTGTATTAMGCCATATCTTAATTGTTTTGGTATACCAGTTACATATGATTGTTTACTTAATCTAGTTAATAGTTATAATTGTAATATTTCTTATATATTATATTATTATGCATGATACAACAATTATTTTATACAATATTCTGGTTGGTTTTTAAAAATATTTGATACCCATCTATATTTAAAACGTGACTGTTTGATCTTAAGTTTTTTTTTAAATTTTAACAGCTTACTGGTTACATAGGTATATCCCTGTCGTGTTTCATTTAACTTACCTACTTTTTATTACTGTTAGTCATATGTATTATTTTTGCTGTATTACATTACAGTTACAGTTGGAAATAAAATTGATATACAATRCAGTAGAGAATCTATGTATATAATGTATACAAATATAAAGGTATAAATCAATAATTTAAAATAAATAATTGAAGCTGAAAACAAAATGAACGGCAAATATTTTCTACTTATCGTGTATAGATTTGGTTTTTTAACTATGATTATAAGTTATGGGGATGTTACACTGACATTTGTTGTTTCCGTCTAGAAGTGCGTTACGTAACATATTTTATGATCAACAGATCACGTTTAGCTCCATTAGTTTAAAAATTTGAATGAATAGACCTTTTTTTAAATTTAAAGATAAATTTATTATCTAGCAAACGTCTGCTTTTTATTGTTTTAATTTTAAAGCGAGTACTCATTAATCGCCTTAAATTACTCGTTAATTTAAGATGTAGGTGCCAAAAATTAAAAATTTTAAAATACCTGTTATATAGTTATTTTTTTAAACCGTTTTTCAGCATATTATGATTTCGTTATAATTGAAAAAAAGTAATTACATCGGAAAAATGTTAAAATACTAATCACTTACTTAGTAATTAAATTTAAAATTCCTATATAAAACCCATTAAATTTAAAAGCCGTTATAATTCAACTTTAATATATGTTTTTATTTTACCATTCTATGTATAGGCAGTAATATAAAATCGATAACAATTGCGTAAATACCTATATAAAATATTGTTAATACGTAAGTTTAGTTACATTAAAAAAATGGATTTTTCAGATGACACTTAAAAAATTACAGAAACACTTTTGTTAGAATAGATGGATAATTATTAAGAAAATAAACTCTAAACTACCTACTAGATTAATCTGATAGATCTCAYATTGTAATATTTGGCTGCCTCTCGGTGTGTGGTCTACAGCCGTTGTATGTCCTACCTTAACGTCCCTAACTACTTAATATTTTATGAATGGAATTATAAATTTGCCATTTACGACGTTATTAACGTGTGTAGAATTAAGCATGCTCCATTTAAAATTTTAATTTTAAAAATTGGGTATCTATGTTTCTAAGTCCRCGAATGTATTTCTTGTCCTAACGCCTAATATTAAAAATATTGTGTGTACAATATCTTATTTATAAATTTATTGTATTTAAAGGGTGATGGCGGAAGTCCTCTGATGTGTCCAATTGAGAATAGACCCGAACAATTCCACCAGGCYGGCATCGTGGCGTGGGGAATCGGATGCGGTGACGAGACACCGGGCGTGTACGTGGACGTGGCTTTGTTCAGAAACTGGATCGATGAGCAGATGGCTAAGGAAAATTTGGACACAAGCTTCTACGATCCTGATTACGTTCCGCCGAATTAAATTTTCATAATAACTGTCTCCATCATGTAGACACACACAAATACCCTTCAGGCTCCAAACTCGTCCCCCCCCTCTCACTCTACCGACTCTTAATCTTTCTGTCATCACGCCACCGGTCGAATAAAGCTAATAAGGTTGACCCAGTTAGGGGTACTCTCGTGTTGTGGTGTACTGGTGTGTCAAGTGTATTTATCATTATCATTATTATTATTATGATTATACTTATTACTATACCGAATAAAAATGACGTATTATAATGAGTACCTATAGATACGATTTGCATAATATGATCTATTTCAAATGTTAGCACTTACTTGTACCCGATTTTTTAAAAATATATAACATCAAGTAAATCGTATTACAATAGAATATTGTTATAATATGATTGCCGAATTATTTTCAACATTATCTTTCAAAATAATCAAACGTCTAATAATAGGATCACTCCACCCGCAAAGCTATTTGCAGTTTTGATAGGTAGTCCTATCGATATTCGTTCGTTGAATAAAATCTGTATGTTCTTACCTATAACTATTTTACACATCACACACATTATCGACATATCGTTGTTGTAATTTTTCTCGTAATACGTAAATACGATCAAGTCTAATCTTTAGAAAATATAATAGTTTTATTAATCGAATGTAATTATAAATCATCCACACTTATATTATAATTATATAATTTCTAATAAGTTAAAAACATATAGTGCCTAAGGTTGCATAATTTAAATTTATTATGCATTTGTTTTGTATTAGTATACTTTTATGAGATAGGTACCTATCTTTTGAACTTGGAACTACAAATTATAAGTTAAAAGAGGGATTTAAGTAGGGATTAACCCTAATTATTAAGTTATAAATACATAGGTTGGTAAGCAATTTATTTTTGATTTCATATTGCATTATTGGCCATTTATTTATAAAACAATGAAATAAATAATCAAAAATAACAGTATGAATAATTTTTTGTTTTATATTTACATGTGCCTAGGTTAAAAGTTGTTAGGCTTTGAAATTGCATTTTGTTAAAATGTTCTCTTGATTTTTATTTAAAATATAATTATGATTGTTACAATGAAATATATTAAAAGAAAAACTATTCAAATGAAAATTTGAAAAATATTTATTTTTTCTATTTATTTTTTCTAGTTCGATTAAATTTATTTTTATCGCACTCAAGTTGTAGAAGTGGTTCAACCGGTACCTACAGGCAATGTATGTGTCAACTCAATTATATATTAAATCATGAGTTATTTACATTTATCCAAAATTATTGTATTGAATACAGAGTTGAGTGGTTAAATAAAAAATAATTATTAATCAAGAAATTAATTTAGTGTTAACTAATGTTATAAAATTTAATATGAAATGTATACTTATGATTATAACTTAATGTAACTAATTGGTATTCACATTTTGGTCGATGTACATTTATTTTTTTAAACTTAGATTTATAAACTAATCTTTAGTTTATAATTGATATTCACTTTTCATAAAGTATAACAAAATAAACATCATAGTTAAGTTGTATAACCGTAATTAATTACCAACTTAAATTTACTTCCGTGGTATTTTGTAWTGTCATAAGTAAATTARAAGGTAAAGATCATAAATAAATTTTAGAAATATTATTAATTAAAAAATTATATTGATTCTTTATAGATTAAATATTAACTCACAAATTCAGTTAATTTAATTCCAATAAATTAATAGAATATTGTCAWTATTGATGGTTAGATAGAGGGTTATGTTGCTGGATACCCGAAAGAAAATGTGATAGAACTAAGATAATAGTAGATCACTAGGGTTCGGATTTGAAGGCAAATGCCTTTCTTTTATTAATCATAATAGAAAAATAATTTTTATACAAAAATGTGTTTCATTTATTTTCTTAGACGACAGATCTTTTTTTTTTGCCTTTTTACTTATAAATGCCTTTTTGCCTTTTTTTTACCTTTTGTACTTATAAATGCCTATTTTGTGTTTAATTTTCAGTTGATTTTATAATTTTATACCCAGCTAGAGTATTATCACTTTAAATGGGTTTTATTATTCGCAATATCAAAAAGATCAACCAAGTATTGATTGGAGAAACCACAAGCGATGACGATCTATCAAGTAGCATTCATAATTTAGATAATTATTTAAGTATGAAATACGCCCCGGTAACTTCGGTGAAAGATCGTTTTCGATGTACAAAAATATTTTAACCCCTAACCGTAGCCGTTTTTCTGAAGACAGCTTATCAAAATACATGGTAGTCAATTTTTTTTTTAATACCAACTAGTTTATTTTGCATTAAATTAACTGGTATAACTCAAGTAAGTTAATATTTAAAATTGTTTTTAACTAATTTTTAGGACAAACCTGGTTAAAGAAAAAGGTACCAAATCTATTTATACAAAATAGCATAAACTTAATGTAGTTTAGCATTCATGCTCATTTTTAATTTGTATTTTTCTCAAAATGTGTGCATTTGAAAGTGTTTAAAAAATGTTCACTATTTTATTTTGAAGTATATTTATGAATTGCCTTTTTATTAAATGAAATGCCTTTTTTTTACATTTTAAATGCTTTTTTTATTGATTATATTGCCTTCAAATCCGAACCCTATAGATCACTAAATAATTGGGTTGTTAAACTCAAACTTTGAAAATGGTTTACACATAAAGTCTTTACACTTTTGTTTTTTTATAGGTAACACAAAAATGTTTTTTATTAAATAATTAAAAGTAACTCTAGATTACCAGAGTTGAAGTTTAAGTTGATTAGTTCATAGATTAGTTTGTTGAATTGAAATAAATGTTTAGTTTGATTTAATAATGTAATATGCATCTTTGATTTAAATGCTACATWATAGGTAAGTATTAAAAAACTGAAGCATGTATACATATTATATTCTTGTAGACTTGAATTTTTATATTCTATTGATGATTCAGRCATCCTTAAATGTTATATTATTAATTTAAAATTGAAATTAAAAAAAATAGAAGACTAATTTTTTCAATCAAAAAATTTATTTAAATATTGGTGTTTACTGACATCCAGGGACTGTATCAAGACAATCTTTTTTTTGCTTCTATTTGCCAGTAAATATTTCTGTGAATTTTGAATTTTTACATTTGTCACAATGAATACTAAAATTTTAACACATTATGAATAATAATCGAAAWTAAAATTGCTTTTAGGAGAAAGGGGTCTTATGGATATATTTAAAATAGTAAAATAATAATAACATATATAATATATATAGATTATCTTAACATAGATTATTAACTCTGGCTCTAACCATTTAATTTTTAAAAATAGGTAGTTAAAACTTGCTTAAGGTAATCACTAAATGAAGCTGATGGAGATAAATTAGAACTCTCTTGCTTATGGTTTCACACAAAATACTATTGAAAGTTAAAAATTAACAGTGATATTGTTGTATAAAGAGTTTAACAATTAATTAATATGTAAATTTAATAATTTAAATTATATATTAATTTTGTCCAAAGAGTATACAGGAATAAGCCACATACATTCTCTAAATTAAAATAATAATTAGATAAAATAATAAGTTTCAATGTTTATCAATTAAGAATTGATTTGTGGCCTTGTGTGCCAGTTTTAGGTTGACAATTTCTGGATAAAAAAATTTGATGTTTTAAAAAAATGTTGTAAGTTTATTATTATTTGCGGTTCTGAATGAGACTATTACTATTTTTATACATTTTCATTACTTTAGGTATCAGTGTATCACAGATATAAAATAATAATTTGATTTATGTAACTGCTATAAAATCATTAAGTACATCTAAGGAATATGTACTTCTGATATAATAATTTATTTGTTAATTATTTAATGAAAAAGTTGAATGCATAATAGTATGCATAAAATAATTTTTCTATAAATACTTGAAAAAGAAATATTTGTAAAAAAAAAAACAATGATGTATCAAGTATTGAATTATTATACATTGTCGCTAAAAATGTTAAAATATTGAATTTAAACATTCTTGATACCTAATGTATATAAAATATTACAAARCAGTTCAATAATATATGATTAAAACAATATCATTTTATACAATATTAATTACTAGCTGTATTACCTTACCAACTATAAATTAAACCAAGATTTACCATCCACCTATAGCGGAGAGATGAATACATTTTTTTCTTGTAATAAATTAAAATGTGATTACAATTTTAATATAATTCACAACAAGTAAGTCATACCAAGAAAAAAAAATTGGTTCAATTTATCATTTAAATTTTCTTTGAATAATCAAAATCAGTAAAGTTTTTCTTTATTCTATAAGTCTCATCATTAATATGAGTAGTATRACTTTTATTGAAAGCAATTCAGTAATTTTTTAGCCTATTGCAGACAAAAATAAATAATGAATTAAATCAAACTAAAGTAAAATACTAAAATCCTTTAATTTTTCTAAATATGGTAAGTTCACAATGAATAGTCAATGATAAAATTAAATCTGACAGCAAAAAATAATAAAATACAATAATTGAAATCATTATTATGTGTGTTATAACAGAACAATTATAAAACAYAAGATACAAAAAAGTGGTTCTTAAATCTAATTATAATGTAAGTTACTACTACCAACAAAATTGAAATATAAATAATTGACTATAATAACTATAATTATTGAATACCTATTTTAATTATGTCTAAGATACAAATATACAATAGAAATCAATAGATCATACAAGTACCTAGATTTGCAAATGAATGGCACTATTTGATTATTACTAACAATTTAAAATAAACGAAAATAATGATGTTATTCATTTAATTCATAGTAAACCTAAACAATGTCTTATAATATTACATAAAAAGTTTAAATATTTAAATGTTCAGCATTTAAGAGGACGTTATACCCATAATATTTGGCGTGAAAAAACGTCTACGAAAATCAAACAAAACGCTATTAAAAAATGGTTTTATAGCAAAAATACCTATAATGAAATTTATAGGAAACAACCTCATTGGCGTTTATTCAAATATGAATTATTAAAAAAGTTATAGTTGTTTAAAAAATGCAAAAAAAAAATAATGTTTTTCTGCCTTTTACAGCAAGCTGTTTATTTGAAATAAAACAAAATCCCGATGAGGTTGTCTCCGAAATATTGTTTTCTTTAAATCTCTTAATAGGTATTTTTGTTATTTACTTTTGTCTAAGGGTCTAATACAATATAAATTAAATATACCTAGTCCTCTATCAGCTACAGCAATTGCTACCAAGAGTCAAGAC